AATATAACAGTTGAGCGACCGTGCTAGAACCACGGAACTCGGGAATGCCTAACACCTTCTCCCGGGTTAACAGAATTCCTTATCCGGATTTCTGGTACGCAGACTGTAATATGGAGTCATTCTTTTCCTCGATTCGGGATTAAAATTTGTGACTTGGGACACCCTAACTCCCAAGTGGCGACTCTGAAATAAATAAATAAATCCCGTTTCGATTGTCCTTTAATTGGAAAAAACTCCCTTGCGCCCTAGCAGGTGCGTAAAAAGGAGGTGTGACACTACCAAAGTAACATGAGTTTTCCTATGTGTGCACATTATAAGTCTAGGATTAGCATTTTCACTTTTCAGTGGTTTTTAGTTATCTTCAAGTATTATCATTTTCTGACTTTTTGAATATCAATAACAATTTCCTGTAACTTAGAATTTGCTTTAGAAACATTATTCTTGATAGTTTCTAAGGTCTTGATTACATCAATCATAATTGTTACACCAATTCTTGATAGTCACTGACAATAGAGCTGATGTAACACCATTGAGAACTCCAGCTCAGCTGAGAAGCTAAGAGAGTGACTAAATCTTTTCTTGAAATTCTAGAAGCCAACATACTAGAAGATACTGTATTTCATGATTTTCAAAGAGAGGAGTCTGCTATTGTTACTTGTTAGTTACTCATATGAATATGATATGGTAAAGTTCAAAATATCACACCTAAACAAGGTAATACAACCAAAATAAAGAGTATTAACGTGATACAGATGAAATCGAAACATACCTTTGAAATTGAAATTGAATCGAGCTCGGTAGACTGGATCAGGACAGCAGCGTCTTCGACACTTCGTTTGCCCGGAATCGAATCGAGCTGGAAATCGCCGCCTATAACCCTAAAATAGTTTGATGCAGAAAATCAGAAATTAAATCTCAACAAAAACCTCAGAGTAGTCGAGTACTGGGATGAGATCATGAGAATGAGATGAGACGTACAAAACTTGCAAAAGTAGTGAAGTTAACCGGTGAAGATGAGATGAGACTCGAGCTCGAATGTCGACTGGTCGTAACTCGATTCGAAGACTAATATCCTAGAGTCGCAGTCGATTCTCGTCTTTTTCTTCTCGTTCTCGATGATATCTCCTAAGCAATAAGCACTGAAGGCTGAAGCAGTAAGCAAAGTAGCAAACCCTATCTCGATGATATCTCCCACTGGGCAAACGAAGTGTCGAAGAACACTAGTGTCTGATAGGGTAATCGTCTAATCGATTATTTGAGGCAGAAGATTGGGCTTGGGTTGGGAGTTGGGGAAGATGGGCCTGGCTGGGTGTGGGTGTCCGTGTGTCATGTGTGGCCGTGTGGGCCTATAAAATATGGTTTGGGCCAAATTTCGATATTTCGGTTTACCGAAATAGTTAAATTATAAAACCAAAAACCGAACCGAACTACCGAAATACCGAAAATTCAGTACCGAATTATACTGAAATACCGAAAAAACCGAAACCGAAATACCAAATTAATTTGGTTCGGTTCGGAATTCGGTTTTTCGGATTTTATGCCCACCCCTAACGTAAACCCACTTTCTCTGCCATCTCATCTTTGAAGGAGGTATTAATTTCACAATGGATAAGAATAGGATGGTATTAGAATGCCCGTAACGGTTGAGTCTGAAATTAATTTTTTGGGACAAGTACAAGGTGCAACTTATGTATTTTAACTTAAATATTTTAAAAGCATGAGTAATAAATGAGGAACAACTAGCAATAAATACCAACAAATGACATTTAAGTAAATAAGAGGAATTAATCACCCAATAATGAAAGAGTTAGATGATTGTTCCTCTTGACAATGATGCGTGACAGATAAATCCTAGAATGTTCAAACCATTCTCTAATCTAATGAAAAAGTGGAAAAATAATATAAGCAAGAATGTTGATGAAAAGGTAAAGTTGTTTCTTTGCCAGAGAGAGAATCTTCTTCTGAAAAGTGTTCTTATCAAGTGAATATCACATGCCCTATCCCATTGTCTCCTTTTCTATTTATACAAGACATGTCTCTAGCAAAACCTAATAGTACAAGTTTAGAGAATATTCACTAGAATATTTTCTTTAATATCCTCTTTCAAACTAGCCGTTACTGTTCTGTCAACGGTACTCGACCTCGGCCATTGTTGACATGTCGATCACGAATCTCGCTGCTTCCTGGTGAACCTCGACTGACTCTCTCCTTAATGTCATGTTACCTTTAATATTCTAGGGCAGATTTTGGCCCATACAGTTAGTCCCTCCGTTTATTGAGGCCGGCCTCAGTCGGGCTTGATGAGCAGATATTGTGCAACTTAGTTGAAGAATTTGGGCGACCTGACCGAGTCATGATGGTTGGGGGCAATTTGGCAATGTGTCCCTTTGTGAACTGTAACTTCTAGGGTCGTAAATCCCGCAAATCAGGATGACGTCATGGCGACAAGCGTCATTATGGCGCAATTTCCCGATGCGTTGCATCATTTCGCGTGTGTCTTCTGATTGAATCTGTCGCTTCGATTATAGTGATAGGTAATGATGGCTTAATTCCTTAGTTTTGACGCTTGAATTCCTATAAATATGGGTGTGTGGGTAACGTTCGTATCTTTACGAAACTCTTGCATCATAAACTCTGAATCTTCTTCTTCTTCTTCCATTGTTGTTCTTTTTCTTATCAAAGTCCTTTGCTTTCTTCTACTTCCTTGTTTGAATGTATTCTCTTAACAATAAGAGTAACGTATCCTCTAGTTCTGGTATGACATCTGAAACCATTCCTTTGGCGGTGCTGATGCGCTTTTATGATGACAATGTCTCTATCGCCATTGAAGATTAGAATTTTCCTATGGTGGAGGAAATAATCCCTCGTAGTGAAAAAGTTAGGTCCAATTTTTCGAAGGCGCTTGAAGGTGATCCCAAAATCTTGGAGTCACTGATGAAAGAGGTTGAACTGGCCGAGCTTAGGGAAAAATATAACATTCATGCCTACATTGACCTGGTCCCAGCAGGGGATGATATGGTGCAAATCCACCGCCCCGGATATTGCGCATTTTATGTGTATCCTTTATAGGTCGGCTATACTCTTCCCCTTCTCCTGTTGGTGGAGGAATTGTGCCGCTATTATGGTTTGCCCGACCCAACTTTCTTTGTACATCTACAAGCTTATCAGGATGCTCATAAAATTGACGGAGCTGGCTGGGGTCAGGGTCACACTCCGCCATCTGATGCATCTATTCGCCCTTAGCTTTTATAGGGGGACGATGTTGTACCTTCGCCATCGAGGAGGTAAATGCCTGGTGGTGAATATGGACGATAAAGCAAATTGTCAGTTCTAGCTCTACTACTTTTATGTTAGAACCAAAGACATGGTAGCCAACACAGACGGTTTTCTTGAGACCTGGAATCACGCTCGTAAGTATCCATTTTCTTGAAAGGAAGTTGATTTATCTATTTTTAGTCATAGTCTCTAACATTCTGCCTTTTCCTTGTTCAGCCAAGGTTGCGCCTCCTCCTTTGGTCGGGGACATTTCCGACTAGGTTGGCCGGATTCTCCCTCATATTGTGGGAATTTGCGAATGGCTGAGCTTTATCAAGAAGTTCGAACCTGCTTTTTCTTTGGTCGGTGAGTTCATCTATTTCTCATTCTTTACTATTTTGATCTCATGGTTGTTTGTTCACTATATTTTATTATCGGTATTGACAGCCTTCGATTTTCCTTTTTCAGTTCAAAGATCTTCGAGGTGGACGAGGGCTCCTCCTCATGCGTTTTGTAAGAGGAAGGCTACTTCTTCCTCGGAGTCCATTCCTACTGTGACCGCGACCAGGCCTGCTTGGTTATCTATGGTAGGATTTCTCGGTCATCTGCCATACCTACTGCTGCCTCCATATAGGCTTCTTCTCCGCCTGTGGATATATTGACAACGAAGCTTTCGACTTCCCCTTTGCATTATCTTGTAGACGAGGAAGAACGGTGGAAGTTTGGTTCCTCGTAAGAGAAGATCGGTGGACGTCAGTGGTGCGGTTGCCCGGGGTGTAGATTCAATAAGGGCAATTTTGCCATTCGTGAAATGGCAAGCATAGAGCTTGAAGGTGACGCCGAGTTATCATCCGAGATTCTACCCTCGACTGAGGCCGTAGAGGATTTGCCTCTTTTCGAGACCAGGGTGGAAGCTGAAGGGCCGCCTGTGGGGGTCTCTGATTCTTTACAGCATGATAAGCCGTTGGCCTCGCGATTGGCCGATGTTCCTTCTTCGTCGGCCCACGAGAGGGGTAAGGGCATTGCCGAGGATGGCTATGAGAAAAGCTTTGACTTTGACGCTGAAGAGGTAAGGATGATGGGGGAAGGATTCACCCAGCTCAAAGTGAGACTGGAGGGGTCCATGCGGACCATTGCGGTCCCTATGGATCGAGACTTGTTGGTTGATACGGAAAATGTGGTTCCTTCACTTGGTCCCCTCTATTCCGACGTGGAGGGTAAAACCCTTGAAAAGCTGGATGATACTACCTTATCAATGAGCATAGTCGGCCTCCCTATCAAGGTAAGGTTTTTGACTTCTTTTGTTCTTGTTCATCAACTTTTAGGCTTCGTTCTTGATCTCTGTTTTCTTTTTCTTTCTTTTTCAGACTGTGGTTTTGGAGATTGAAAGCATTCAAAGAGAGTAAAGGTGTAAGGCTATCTTTTTGAAAATGGAGTGGAAATATCGCGAGTACCATGGAAAGTACCGTGAGATCTGTAGACGGTTCGGTGAGAGCGGTAATTTCCAGGCTCTCTGAGATGAATTGAAGGAGAAGGATAACGAGCTGGTAAGAGTCATAAAAAAATGCAGCATTCTCAAGGGGGAGCTAAGGGATAAAAAAGAAGAACTTGAGGTAAGGAGGGGGGTCGAGGCCCAATGTGGCGATCTCCAAGCCCAAGTTGTCTTGCTGAGCGCCGAGATCGAGAAGTGTCAATCCAAAGTGGACGCTTTTAGTGGCGAGGTCGCTGAGAAGGCAACGGATAATGAGAATGCAGATTTAGCCCAGTCGGGGCTGTGAGGAAGGCAGAGGATTGGAGATCGTGATCCACAATCTTCGTTCTGAGCGGGAGAGTGTCTTGAAAACGGCCAGACTAAAAAAGGAGCGGCTTGATGAAAGGATAGTGGAACTGGAGAAATAGGTTTCTAGCCTTTGTGATCGATTTACGACTCTTGAGGCTGAGAAGGCACAATTACTGGCTAAGCCGTCTTCTTCCTGCACTTTTGTTTTTCTTGATGTTCTACGAGATTTGTACGAGGAATGGATTCATGTCGAGGCTCAGTTGGATATATTTATAGATCTGATGGGGGCGAGAACTGTTATAGAGGTCATTTTCGAAGATGCTCGTGTTAAGGCACGTAGAGCTCGGGTTATTTGTGGCTACGATCCTGCTACATCGGAGGTTGATGATGATTAGGAGGATGCTGGCGTGGATCGGATCGAAGAGGACGCCTTGTATAAGAATGAGTATCTAGATGGCGATGGTGATGGCAAAGGGGCGGATAGGGATGGCCTAGGCGATCAAGCCGATGTCGCTGCTGGGCCAGGCAGCGATTAGTAGTGTTTCCTTTTCTTCTTTTTTGTTTAGCCACAGACTTGTGCATTTTTATGGGCATCTTTTCGAGCCTTTGTAAAAAATATTCTAAGTTTGAAATATTAGTTTTGTTATTTGTACTTGATTCTTTTTCTTTTGTTTGAGTTTGTATGTATTTTGATTTTATTGCTTGGTTGCCTTTGGTTTCCTTAGTTGTAATAATTTAGCTCAAGTAGGGTCGAACGAGGTTGAAACAAAACCTAAGTTTGACCATGGCCGAGGGCCAGTAGATGGGGCATACTTTTGACATTGTTCTCAATTTTTCACATAATCCGCAACCTTTTTTTTCATGGTGGGCCAGTAATATCCTACCCGTATGAGGCATCTGACCAAAGCTCAATTGTTAGGATGAGCTCCGCAATGGCCTTCGTTGACTTCTTCAAAGATTCTCCGCATCTGATTTGGGTCTAAGCATTTTGCTAGAGGGCCGCCATACGTCCTCTTGTATAGGTCGTTATGAATAATGTTGTACTTGCTTCTTGCATTCGCAGTTTCTTGGCCTCTTTTTTATCATCTGGGAGTACACCATCCTGCAAATATGTAACAATATAGTTGCGCTAGTCCCAAGTCAGGTTTATGGTTCTTACCTCGATTTGATCTATCAATAAGTTGAGGAGGTGGACCACATTTCTTTCTTCGGTTGTTATGTTTTTGGTGGCTCCAGCTAATTTGGCTAGACCGTCTGCCTTGTTATTCTGTGCTCAGGGAATCTGGTCGAGTTGACAATCATCAAACTCGGGTAGCAGCTTATAGATCTCCGTCTAGTATTTTTTTCTTTGATCTAAAAAGTCCATGTGACTTGGTTGACAACGAGTTGGTAATCGCAGCGTAGTCTTAACCGTTTTGCCCCGTATTTGAGTGCTAGCTTAACCATGAAATTACGGCCTCATACTCGGCCTCGTTGATAGTCATGTCTGGGCACCTGATGGACTGATGAATCAATTTGCAGATTGGAACCTCGAGTACGAGTCCTAATATGCACCCTAACGCGTTAGATGCATCATCGGTGTACAAGATCTAGAGGTCCTGTATTTGGGGTGAAGCGTGGGCGGCTTCCTTCTCGACTTCGGGCATTATTCTTGCGCTGAAGTCGGTGACGAAGTTAGCAAAGACTTGCGACTTTATCGCTATTCGCGGCTTATATGTGATATCATGCTCATTTAGTTCTATGGCCCATTTGGCCAACCTGCTTGATAGCTCGGGTTTATGAAAAATACTTCTTAAGGGAAAAATCATGACTACTGAGATGGGGTGGCGCTGGAACTATGGTCTAAGCTTTCTTGAAGCTACGACCAAGGCTAGGGCCAATTTTTCGAGGTAAGGGTATCTCGTCTCGGTGTCGACTAGTGTTTTGCTAATGTAATAGATGGGAGAATGCGTACCTGTATGTTCTCGGACCAGGACTGCGCTCACAGCTACTTACATTGAGGTAGATGTGGAGGCACTCCCTCGACTCTGGTTTTGAAAGTAATGGTGGCGACGGGAAGTTAGCCTTTAACTCCTTCAGGGCTTGGGCGCACTCAGAGGTGAAGTCGTTATCCTTTTTGAGTACACCAAAGAATTTGTTGCACCTATTAGATGATCTCTAAATGAACCTCGAAAGGGCGGCGATACAGCCCGTCAACCTCTGAACCTATTTTTTGGTGGTCAAGTGCTCTGGTATCTATGGCTTTGATTTGGTCGGGGTTGACCTCGATACCTCGCTGTGACACTAGGAAGCCCAAGAATTTTCCTGAGGCCACACTGAATGCACACTTTTCGGGGTTTATTTTCATTTCGTATTGCCTGAGTATGTCGAAGTTTTCTCTCAAGTGGTCGATGTGATCTTCTTTCCCTTTGGATTTAACCGGCATGTCATCTATGTAGACTTCCATTATTTTATCGATTTGGTCTTTGAACATCCTCGTCACTAACCTTTAGTAAGTTGCCTGTAACGACCCGATCGATCATTTTGAGCCTTAGAGTGTCGTTGAGAAACTTGAGATCTTGAGTAGCTTCACTTCAAGTATTATGACTTGTACGGGTGGTCGGAATTTAATTTCAGGGAGTTCGGAGTTGATTGGGAAGGAAATTCTTATTTCTGAAGCTTTAAGTTGAAAGAGTTGACCAAGGTTTGACTTTCAAGTAAACGACCTCAGAATCAGGATCTTAAAGTTCCAATAGGTTCCTATGATGATTTTGGACTTGGGCGCATATCCGGATTGAGTTTTAGATGACTAGAGAGCATTTCGGCGCCTATTGTGGAAAGTTGGCATTTTGGAAGAATTTCATAAATTTCGGTTGAAGTGTATTTCAATATTACCAACGTTCGTTTGGGATTCCGAGAGTGGGAATAGATCCTTATGGTGATTCTAGCCTTAGGAGCGCGTCCGTATGTGGATTTGGAGGTTCGTAGGTCATTTCGGGGTCATTTGGCAAAAGTTGGAAATTTGAAGGTTTTAGGGAAGTTTGACCAAGATTGGACTTTTGATATCGGGGTCGGATTCTGATTCCGAAAGTTGAAGTAGGTCCATAATGTAAAATGTGACTTGTGTGCAAAATTTGAGATCAATCGAATGTGATTTGATAGGTTTCGGCATCGAATGTAGAAGTTTGAAGTTCTAAAGTTCATTAAGCTCGAATTGGGGTGCGATTCATGAATTCGATGATGTTTGATGTGATATGAGGCCTCAATCAAGTTTGTGCTATGCTATGGGACTGGTTAGTGTGATTGGACGGGGTCCCGAGGGCCTCGGGTGTGTTTCGGGGTGGTTTCGGATCAATTCGGGCTGTTTTGGCTGCTATTATTGCTGGTTCTGGTTTTGTCCTTCGCGAACACGAAGGGAGTCCCGCATTCGCAAAGAAGGATTTTGGGCTGTTGGGATTTTTTGCATCACGAATGCGACTCTGTGGCCGCGAACATGGAGGGAAAGTTGGAGCAACCCACGCGAACGCGATAGGAGGGTCGCGAACGCATAGAAGGAAAGGGGAGATAGGACATGGAGCCAGTAAGCTTTCGTGAACGCGAAGCTTTTACTGTGAACGCGAAGAGGGAATTTGGAGGCTGTGCATTTTTGCCTTCACGATCGCGATGGTCTTTCCGCGATTTCGATGGTCTTTTCGCGATCGCAAAGAAGGACGGACCTGGGCAGTGAAGTTTTAAAAATGGGGTTTTGACCATTTTCATTTTATTTCCTCCCTGGGAGCCGACCTTGGAGCGATTTTGGAGCACCATTTCCAGCATCAATCACAAATGATTCCCACCTATTTCAAGTTAAATACATGGTATATGTATGGATTTAAACATGGAAATTTTTAGAACTTTGGAATTTTGAAGAAAAACCTAGAAATTGATATTTTTGGATTTTTTATCACAAAATCGGATATGGAATTGAGAATTAATTCTATATTTGAGTTTGTAAGGTTATGGGTAATGGCTATCTTCGAAATTTTTTAGAATCGGGCATGTGGGCCTAAGGGTTGCTTTATCGACTTTTCGAGTGGGGTTGGGCATTTGTCTAAATTGATTTGTTATGAGTATTAGAGCATATTTTTATTGGTTTGCACATTGTTTGGCTAGTTTTGGAGCGACGGGAACCTATTTGAGGTGTTAGAGTGGCATTGGAGCCGGTTATGAAACTTCAAAGCAAGGTAAGTCTCCTTTCTATCTCTGTGAGGGGAAAACTACCCCTAGTTGTTGTGATAAACCTACTTGTTGAGGGGGCTACGTACGCACGAGGTGACGAGAGTCCATATGTAGCTATATTCATGTTATTGTCTGGGTAGACTCAGGTTCACGCCATGCACTAACTGTACCATTTAAGTTGTCTCTTGCCTATTAGATTCCTTTACTACATGTTACAATTTGAGACTAGACTTGTGTAAAGTGGTAGACTCGCTATTGTAGAGATCGGACGAACTACATGATTTGCCACGGAATAATTATACTCCTCTTACAAATTTCCCCTTGTTATGCGTTCTCATCGAAAGGTTTTTGCAACGCTTCTTATAACTCACATATCCCTTCATGAGTGGGTTCAAGGACCCGTCAAAGCTTCTTATTCTAATGGGATCAGGCTGTTCGCCTCGACATGATATATACATCTATGGTTCGTGCCATTTGACCCTCGGCAGTACGTACATCTTAGGGGATCGGGCCGTTTGCCTCGGCAGGATTATGTACTACACTATCATGAGAGCGGGCCGTTTGCCTCGGCAACATGTAATAGTGTCATGACCCCAAACCGGACCTGGTCGTGATGGAGCCTCTCATGAAGATAAGGCCAGCCGACACAATTCCCAAATTCATTTTTTTAACAATTTTAATAAGTCCATTTCAGTCATTGATAAGAAATAAATCCTAAAATTAAGCGAAATAGAACAAGTTTGGAAATAGATACAACCCGACATCGGGGTGTCACAAGTCACAAGCATCTACTAAGGTCTAAATACAACAAAAAGTCTAACAATGTACTAACTACAGTCTAATGAAATCAAGAGGGAGAAAAGCAGTGCTGCGAACGTTGGGCAACTACCTTGCTAAACTCCAATAACTCTGCCTCTGAGCAACTAACACCCGCTACCGGGTTCAGAAAAACCTGAATCTGCATACAAGGTGCAATGAGTATAGTGAGTACTCCAACTCAGTGAGTAATAAATATAAATGAAAACTGAGCGATAAGAAATGACGTAAAAATACAACAACATGCTATAAAGAAGCTGTGTAAAACCAATAAAAGGCAAAGAGACAGTGAAATCTTATAAAAACACCTTATTGCAGAATAAGCTTCTTTAAACACCTTTCTAATATTTAAACAAGTAAATGATAGGCAACTAGAAGAAATAAATACATAAAAATCGCCCCTCGGGCACAATACCTACAGAACTAGCCCCTCGGGCAACAACATGGAACAACACTAGCCCCTTGGGCTATATCTCATATCACAATGGGTACCCGCGCTCACTAAGGGTGTGAAGACTCCGGGAGGGGCCTGTTACGGCCCAAGCGCAATATCA